GTGCGTCGCCTACGAGTCAAAGGCTGAGAAGTTGCCACTGGAAACGGAGCCAGTTGCCCGTGACAACAACACGATTTTAACGTTAAAACCTAGGTGTTTAAAGGCCGATTAAGCTAACCCAGGATAAGCGAGAATTTTGATTTGAGTTTTGCGACTTTGCGATGTGGTTTTCTGTTTATGTTCTTTGGCCTTCTGTTTTGAGTTTCAAAAATCTTAATCTACACAAAATAAAAGCAGTGAAAAACGTATTTGTACAAGAAAAAATAATACTTCGGCTTTCTTTTAATCCTGGGTTAGTGTTACCGGCTTTCGAACAACCCGGCCCTGGGGCTCGTTTCTCGAAAGCCCCAGAAACCTTTCGGGCCCGTAAAGCTATTTTCAGTCCATCTGTATCTAGAAACGGAGAAGTGGATACGCCTGAAACTTCCTGTATGAAGGGAACCTCTGGTGATATTAAGAATACCTGAATAAAACAGCTCTGTAATCATAAGGTTTGAGATTTTGCTACGGCTTTCCGATTGCGAAAACTTTTCGGGACCTTCGGGAAACGGGCCCCCGGTCACCAAACTTTCTTCCCGCCTTACTCAACTGATAATCATAACATGTGTGCAGTCTTTGTTGTTATCCCTAATCGAACTGTTTTGGAACGTTTCCCAGGCATACCGTAAACTGCCGCTTATAAGTCCCCCCCAACCCCAACCCCCGGTTAGAGGCCCATTTACCCGAAACCAAAAAATACAGCCGGGTATAAGCCCCCCCTCTAGCTTTCTTCGTTTTGAATTCGTTTTTATCATGTTTTAAAGCTTAATTACCAGTGAATGAAAAACCTATTTCCATCAACATGTGCAGCTATACCTCGTTTCGAAACGGTTTTTTTTATTCCGGTTATAAGCCCCCTCGGATATAAGCCCCTCCGTTTATAAGCCCATCTTTAAGCCCTTACGAAGTTGTGTAATCCCAGGGCTTACCAGCGGTAGTTTACAGTATCTGGTGAGTTTGGTCGAGCCATCGTGGCTCGTATTTTGACGAGACGTATTTGAGACAAAATACATATGGCGAGACCCAACGAGTGTACCACTAGGTATTCACCGTACCCAAATTCGGCCATGTGCAAGATATCGTAGTTATATCATGTCAGTGACTTGATATCACAGGATATCAGGACAGCGGACACGGCTTCTGATTGGCTAATTCCGAATTTGGGCACGGTAATTTTTGGTTGCGCGCTTTCTTCAACAACGTGCCATGAGAACTGAACTAGAAGTCTGAAGTCCAGATAACTCTTTTAATTGCGTGCTCCACACTCCAAAGCAATGTCTCTTGACCTTTTCGCTTGGAATTCAAACAAATGAAAAATATTGACTCCTTGCGTAATAATAATAATAATAATAACAATAACAATAACAATGACAATGACAATGACAATGACAATAATAATAATAATAATTATTATTATTATTATTATTATTATTATTATTATATATTAACGGTACTTTTTTATTAACATAACAATCCAAACATTGCTATTATACAATACTGACGGTACATTACTTGCAATGGTTTTACAATACAACACTTACTAACAGTCGGCTACCTACATTACTTACATTACATTGCTAGACAACAAATAACTTACAATATATTACAATTTTATTTGTTTTAATTCTGTGCTTTCTTTTTCTTATTCAGGCGGTCCCCTTACGCCAGATTTCTGCTTCTTTGTGCTTCAGGAAAATGGTACATATGAGTGGAAATGCGAAGAAAGAGGTCAGTATTTCCATTTTGTCGGAATCTTATATTCACCGAGTTCTCGTAGCTCTGTTGGTAGTATGTAGCAAGGAAATCACGTAGGTGGTGAACTCTTCTCCTGTTAAAATCTTCGTTCTTTCTTAGCTCTCTCCGTTAAGGTTTTGAAAAAGTTTTTTCATCACTGCGGTGAATTTTGCAGCAACGAATACTGCATCTATATGGCTTTTCCCCTCTAAACAATACAATGCCGGTTCATTTCATCTGGTGAATATGTAATTTCAACTTTCTGTGTACCTTGGAGTTCAAGTTTGTATCGGGCGCTTTTCATACAATAAAAAACTCCGAACCTTAAAAGTTTTGAAAAAGGGTAAGATGGTATGGAATCCGTGAATTGCTGAATTTTCGAAAATTTAGATATACCACGCGAAGTTGTCTTTTTTTCCGCAAATTTCGGAAAATGCTGTTCCATACGACACAGGAAATTTCCGGCCAAACTCAAACTGGAGTTTTTGGTTGAATGAAAAGCGCCCATCGTTATCGTATGTTTAGAAGACTTAGAAACCTTTAGCGCTGATATGACGTAAAATTTCCTCCAATATTAAGACCACGTCCCCGGCCAACCAAGCTCATATTAACACTGATCCAATGTTTACAGTCTTCATGCCGCTAGGACCCTAGCATGCCTGCAAAGTTAATAGAGAACTGGGTTGATATGTGATTTTGGAACACGCTTATGTGCTAACTCGAATCACGCGCCAACTCGAATCACGTACTAAACTCGAAACGCGCGCTAACTCGAAGTAAAATGGATTCTCTCTGGATTTTCTTCTTACACTTACTGTAATTTACCCACATGGTGACTGGAACTGAACCTCTCGCTAATTATTCAAAGGTCGGTTTCTTTATAATTTTACCCTCGATAGCTCGAATCTCATTTGTCTAATAGAGTCTAATGGGTTAAAGAACTTCAGAATCATTGACAGACACAGATTTGCAGTAAAGAGTCCCGCAATAGTATTTGACTATTTCTTCAGATCTATTAACACTTGCTGTGAAATACACACCGTTTTGTTCTCTAATTTCCGGTCATTTGTTTCCATCTCCCGATAACTCGAGCCTTTCTTGATGAGCAAACTGTTAATTCACGTTATCCCGCATTGTCCCTGGCGTTGACTACATCTCAGGCACTTTAGATCCGGCACCTGTAAATTATAGGACACAATAGCTAAGGGAAAGACATGGAGGGTGGGGAACGGGATGCAACTGCAGAGACATAATTTTTAAAACATGCATCAAAACTTTCCGGCGTCTTTTAGGTCCGATACAGTGTAAATTCAAAGGAAGTTATTCAACGATGAAGGTCACCAGTGTAAGCTTCATAATAGGGTTTGACCATATAGAGCCCATGCTTACATACTAGGTATGAGAATACGCTGAGAATAACGAGCATAGTGGATCACAATACTGAGGTATAGTAAAGGAATCAGTCCAGTAGTACAGTACAGAAAATTCGTTCGTGACTGAACTTTCAGGCAAATTCTCGGCTTAATTTGGGCGATTTCGGAGGGATTTGGAATGTTTATGGAGCTCTTGCGGTTCAAAAAGAGGACATTCATCTGATCGTCTGTTTTGGGACTTGACGATAACTACACATCATGTTTGTTTTGTTTTGTAAATCTCCCCAAAAATGTTTTTTTTCCTCCTTTAAAACCTTAAATTGGTGCTCTTCAGATGGACTTCAGAGAACAAAGAAATGCTTTTCTCCAATTTTTTAAATATTGAGCATAAGCATAATGATGAAAAAGTCGAAAAATGCGAGCAAAATAAATAAGAGCCCTGGCTAAACGATAATCCTCTAACACAAAGGCGGGGCGGGAAATAAAAAATCGAGTTTAAGGCCATAAATAAATATGCGGTTTGCACTCGTTCCACTGACCTAGCTCTATCCCTGTCACTTATGTTGACTTCAAGTTTTGAACGTCAAGTCTTACACATACAGTACAAACACACAAGTGTAAAATAACAAATCATATGTTGTTTAAAAAAAGTTGTGTTAACAAGGCGAGATTCAAAACTGACCTCCCGTAAGATCGGGTATTTGTTTACACGGGTAATGTTTCACTGTAGATAACGTTGGTAATTGCGATCTTTCTCTGTCCTTTGTTGCTGATAAGTTTACAAAACGCGTAGTTATGAAAGATACCTTGATAATCTGTCTTAATTTGCCCTCTATGGCATCTAATCAGTGGCGTCATGGGCTGGTTCTTTCTGTCATAATACACTTGTTGTTTGCTTCACGTGAGTGAAAGGAAATTTCACCGTCTCTCGGAAGCAGAGTTTTTTGTGAACTTTAGCTAGGAATTTAGGAAAAGCACATCTTTATGCAGAGTGGAGCACTCTTATATCTAAGATAAGGATCTCGCGGTGTTCGCCTTTGAAAAATGCATATCTGTCTTCTACGTACTTTTGTCTCTTGATCGTGTTCTAAAGGCAGTTTTTTAAAAAATTATCCATTTGATTTTTAGGGTTGGACCGCTAACACAAGTTATTTGAGTGCCGCACATTTCTTTTTTTTTTTTTGGTTTGAGAATTAATTTTACACTCTCGTCTAGACAATCAAAAAGTCCAAAATTTTGTTAACTAATTCTCTTATTCTCATCACTTATCTCTACGACAACGTCTTGATATTGAAAAGAGAGATTAGATTCCGATCACTGTTGGGATATGCTGGAGTTTAACACGCTCTGACTTTTACTGACGACCAACAACTGTTCGTGAAGGTTTAAACTTTCACAAATCTTCAAGCTATTGATATACCAAAGGATTAATAGAGCTGTTCGCATGTAATTGTCCGGGGCAAGCGCCGACAGCACTAAAGTATCAGATAACGCACGCCTTTATATTACGTCTAGCGTGCCCTTTCTTTGTCCTGCCAACTTAAACCGCATAGTCGTAAGGATTAATTTGCTCCAGCAATTCGCCAGGCATGTGTTCTGAAAGTCCATCATGAAAAATGAGGATCGATATACGGAAACGTGGATTTGCCAGCTTTTTCGTTCCTCTGACCATATCAAGCTGTGTTTGGCTTTGGGGTCTCCTCGATGCTACTGCGTCCGTGGGACGGGCTCGGTCACCGCGTCTTGAACGCTCTAAACGTGAGTACAATACCTGCTGTTAACCCATGTTCGATATATAAGTCAGCGACAAAACAGTCACTCGTGATATTTTCATGCTGGTTTTTTAGAGGCTTGTTCACAGGTTGCCATATCACAGTTCTAAAAGTTGCAGTCTTTGTAAGGCAAATGCGTATAGATGTTGAACGAAAACGCACGGTCGGTTGATATCATCCGTATTGACCTAATTTTTTTAGGTGATCTTCTTGTTAGTTTATGGGCACGATTCTCTGGTTGATAACTGACATCTGTTGTTGGGAAAACATTACATATTTGGTGTGTTGCATGCGGACCAGTTGATGTCGTTCATTATTCACCTGATATAAGTCCGACGACTTATTTCTTTTTAAACTTTCCGCTAGCCAGTTTGGTTTGAAATTTTATTAAATTTGCAATTATTCTAAATCTTGTTGTTAACCCTTTTAGGCGACCGGAAGTGTCTTGCAGTATTAAGGGTTAGGTCATAAGTAGTTTTTCACGCAATCAAAGTCACTGACAGGCTTCCAAACTTTACAAACTGTGTCTCTTACAGTTCAGACAGTCTTAAAGTTGAGCTGATTGAAAATATTTCGACTTCTAGAGAATTTTTTTTTGGAATTCCCATGTCGTGTGTTCGTGAGATATCGGACGTATATCACCCGTTATCTTTTAAGCTCCCTCCGCTACAGAGCTGCTATAAATAAGTTGTTTCAGAGTTTAATTTTGGCATCAAATACAAACTATAACAAATGTTATACATGATCTATAAACTTTCACAAGTCGACGCATGGCAATATTTTAAGATTGAAGTTTTAAATAACCTTTGAACCTCTCCAACACCACTACGTTTTCTTTACAGTGAGGCTGTTATCTACCTGCCCTGGTAAAATGCTTAGAATATGCAACATAACTGTATACACCACCGATTTTATCGTGCAAACATTTATTTATTAGCTGTTTCGCACAGCCGTTTTCTGGTAGCTTTTCTTCGTGGTTATCTGAATGTTTTGCGCTTCTTGCAGCCTCGCCTGTCAGTAACTCTCCATGATATTTTCCCACTTTTTCTTTTCATGGAGCTTCACTGAACATCTGGTCCTACAATAGGCTATTAAGACCGTGACGTATGTTCACAGGTAGCCCAATCTCAGAACGCGAGTATCATCATCAATTTACGAAATTGCGCCAATATAACAGTTCGGCCCCAACATCTCCTACTTGATAATAAAGCATGACCTTCGAGATCATATGGGAAGTAATCCTGTCGCTTCGAAAATTACGAAATTGGCAAATGAACTTTTACTTTAAACTTATCTGCTTTGTCTTCTTGTCTTTTCTTATGATTTTACAGCGTTGTTGTCGTTCCAGCGCTGGTTTGAGACTTTTCCTGAGAGTTTTCCAACCGAAGAAACGAAGTCTTCGGGTGGAAAACAACCCTGCTCAGAAAAAGCGTTACCTTAATCCGTTGTTAAGTCACGGCCACAACGTTGTGAAATCGTACGAAACGACAAGAAAACAAGATAGGTGAGTTCAAACGAAATTTTATTGGCAATTACGAATGTTTTAAGGCATCAGAGACATTTTCCACACGACCTTTTCAATAGCGAAGGTCATGACTTATTATTATTTGGGAGATTTTGTGGTCTAGCTCTCATGTTCTCACTATTTCATGAAGTTATAATGACCCTCATCTACTGAGCTTGGGTTACCTGTGGTTTGTTTATAACAAATACAATTTACTTTGAAGGCGTAGGCTCTAATTCTACAAGAATATCACTAAAATCAGAGAATCGACGCTCTTAAATGAGTTGAAATGCCCCTTGATTCCACAGAATATCATATTTTTATAAAACATGTTGGTTGCCTTGAGCGCCGACAAAATTGTCAAAATGCTTTGCGAGATTCTGGTAGGTAACATGACATGGTTCATGTTCATGCGTGACAACCGCTGATCTTGAAGATATCATGAGCATCCCATCTCACTTATCTCAACATTTTTGAGCTTAATCTTGAGAAAATATAAATAGCACATAATTGATTGTTGAGTGTGGTAGGGTGTTAGATCGCAATTGGGACGCTGTAGTTCTGTTTCTTTCCCCCGTCACATCCCATACTATTAATAATTTAGTCTAAATCGGAGTTCTTTATCCCCGGGGTTCTACAATAGAAATGGAAATTCGGAAGTGACTTTGTAAGCGAGCGTATGTTGGACTACGATAGTGATAAAGTTTTTGCATTAAAAATAGCTAGTTTAAGATAGGGTAGGGGATTTTGGTGCTTGAATAGAGTTGCAAAATCAATTTGATGATGGTCTAGTATTGGGCAAGGATTGCAGTACACCTCACACTCAGCGGCACACCTTACCCAAAGATTTACAGAGTACCCCACGGGGCAAAGGACTTTCTGAGCCGACATACAAGTAACGTCCAAGAGAATCAGGTGTACTTAAACTGTCAAACTTTAAATCAGACATATGGTGCACTCTGAGATTCAGACAATCGATAGCCTAAGAGCGGTGTGTAACGAAGAGACGATATCAGAAATATTCACGATAAGTCCGCAGTTATCGTCTAGACAGCGCGGATGAATGTATGTTGCAAACACCTTGAGCGCACTGTTGTAATTCCGTGCCGTTGATGTTTCAGTGACAATTCTGTTTCTGTGCGATCAACTGGAGTGTAATGTATCGAAGAAGGATGATAATCTAATAGACCGGGTTTGGTTTGTGGATCTGTGGCAGAGTGCAAAATATGTGGGAATACGAAGTCTTGCGTTCTTTGCTAACTCTGGAAAATCCACCGTCTTAAGTTCCCGCAGTCCACTCCACATTGTAATCCATAATCCAGTTTAGCGTCGAGTCCACTCCAATCTAATTTTAATAAGCTAGAGGCCGTTTCAACCTCTGCAATGCAAACTAAAGAATTGAAGAAATAGACCACAAGCTTCAAAAGGATTTCATTCATCGAGCATGCTTTTCTATTAACCTTGCCTGTTCTTTAATTAGAAGCGGCAAAGGTCAACCTGTAAAAGATGAGATACATGTGATACCTGAACAAAAAAGATTTTCACTTGAGTGTCGAAAGTAATTCGCAGTTGCTTCCTTTTGAATTGGTTTTGCATTACCATGCTAAACCACTGGCGCCAACTTGCCGTCGTGACTTGCTTGCACGCGTTTTCCCGCGCTTTGCGTCGGCTACATGTATGTGCTCTGAGTTCTGATTGGTTCCCTGGATTGTCTCTGTAGAGACGACTCTGGTTTTGGTTTTACGACACTCAGTTGTTAAACTGCTTTAAAAACCATGACCTAGAGTGTCAAGGCGTTTAGCTTGACGCCTTCTTTCTGTTTTAAGATCAAAGAAGTTCTTGTCACGTTCACGTTTTAATGACAGCTTTGATGCTGTAAGAAAGAATGTGAAATATTTCTTTCCAAATCCTGTCAGGTCAAGTTTAGTTGCATGAAACATCTGGCTCGCTCTTACTTTCGGAAAGACTGAAATGGCTTACTTCTTTCGGAATCTGTGTTCTGTTGGTTTCGGTTGTCCGTAAAGTCCGTAAACGGATTAGCGCAAATCCTGAACACAAACTGAGCCCAGACGTTCCATTTATACCAATCTTATTCTTTGAAGGAATGTTCGTCGCGAACGTCGTAGGCAGCGCTGGGTTTAATAGATCCTAGGCAAGGTCCAATGCAACGCGAATCATAAAAACGTTTTGTAGAGATATCCTTATTGGAATTTATAAAACTAAGTTTGAAGTCTTTGCTAATGCTCTAATCAAGAGTATGAGCCTAATCCTTCAATAAAACATCCTAGCCAAGATAACCAAAGTGCCATGAAAGACGCGACAAAGTGATTTTGTTCGAAAACTGCTAATTCTCATTTGCTCACTTTTCTTGCGCTTTAGCTAAACAGTGGACAACCTTACACGTGAAAAATAGCTGCTCGTGATCCGTTCGGATCTGTTCATCGGCAATCGAATCAATTGACAAAAATGCAAGTGAGATCTGTAAAGCAGGGAAAATGGGTTAGTCTGTTCTCTCGCCAGACTTGCTCTTATATTTCAAGATGGCGACTTGAATTTCTCGGGCACCTCTTTCTCTGACGAAACAGACAGACAGGTGGCTTCGGGGTACAGTTTATGAATAACAACGATTCAAAGATTTGGCGTCAAGATTCCATTTTTTTTTTTGAGAAATGTTTATCTTAAGTCAAAGGTTAAAATAACAGGCAGATTAATTAAATTGGATTGTGATATCTTTTAGATTGCAGAGACGGATTATTTCTGGTGATGTTTATCGAGGTTCCTATCCTCCTGCTTTTTTTCGACTGTGGTTCAGTTTTTATTTGTTTTTTGGCCTGTTTGTCTGCTTCTTTGTGATTCATTAAGCTATAGGGAACAACGCTCTGTATCGTGGGACACTGCCGACAACTTTTCAATAAGCTAACAGAGGGATTTAAAAAGGTTACAATATTTAGAGAGGAAGCCAAGTCAGCCTTAGCTGGTTTTCATACAGGTCCTCTATCCTGATCGAATTAGAATTTGGAGATGTTGGTTTTTTGGAGGGAAGAAAAGCGGAGAACCCGGAGAAAAACCCTCGGAGCTAGGCGAGAAACAACAAGAAACTCAACCCACATATGACACCGGACCAGAGTCGAACCGGGGCCACATTGATGGGAGGCGAGTGTTCTCACCACTGCGCCATCCCTGCTCCCCAGGGATTAATGTATTGTATGGAAATGAGGTTTTTTGCTTACCCGTCCGGGACTTCTGGCCGCTAAGGCAACATCATTATCTCACATCTCAAAGCCCCTGATACTGCTCAGTTTGTCGTGTTGCATACCATACAGGTTAAGACCATTATTTTTAAGCGACTTTAGCTATCATTGTAGAATTTATGACCTAACTGACTGCTTCCCTCGGACGTTGCTCCTCGGGCCTGACCAATCATAGAACATTAAAATTAAGTCATCTGGATCATTGAAATAAGCCTCTCAACGTTAATATAGGTCACTTGCTGTTTGTGTGAGATAACGTGCGGATCTAATGCCGTTTTCCCAGTGGTTGGTTTTTTTTTTGCGAATCCTCTTTTAAGAGTGAGATAACGTAATACACAGGAAACGAAACTACAAACTGATAAAACACGGCAGGAATTAAAGCTTTTGTAAGAGACACCAGTGCGTTAGTTTGGAAACAAAACTACGGTGGAACTCCATTATTTTGGTCACCTGCGGGCTACAAAAATCTAGCCGTATTAACGAGGTGACCGGATTAAAAGAGGTTTCTTTAATGTAAGAAAATGACTGACTGTGCGTTTGTTCGGGCTAGTAATAACTGTAGTAACGAGGTGGCCGTTAAGCGGGATTCCTTTGTAAAGGAATCAAAGAGAAAATTCTTGACCTCGGTGAGATTTGAATCACGACGCTCAATTCCGCCGTGCTATCAATGCAACTGAGCTACTCGGCAAAATCGGATGGAGCAAGTCGTAGCTTAAATACTTGGTATTTAAATGGTGAAATTTCTAATTTTTCATGCTGTTTTACCTTGGACATTTACAATCCACTTCAATTCGTTGCAGGGGCCGCCGACAGCAGTCTCACGGACATCGATTTGCTTGGAACGATAGGAGAGCCACTTCCGCTTGGAGTGTCGCTCACCAAGGGACCCCACACAAAACCTGCCTTTAACTTCCGGTCCATAGCGAATGTGGGACGATTTGCACGCTACATTTTTCCCAAGCAATTCTTCACAGAATTCTCCGTCACTGTAGCATTTCGCCCAAAGCGCGCTGATCACGGAGTACTTTTCGCTATTTTGCCTAATTATCGCGCCGGAGGTGTCATTTTGGGGCTCGAGATTCGAAGTGGGTCTTTCACAAGAGACACCACCATCAGCTTGATCCATGCAAACAATGCAAGGACGAAAACTGTTTTTGAATTCACTGTGCCGGACATAACCGGCAAATGGACGTGGCTGGCGTTCAGTATTAAAAAAGATGGCGTCACATTTTACCACGATTGTAAGGAAATTGAAACAAAATTTGGGCCCTCGTCCCTTGACGTCCTCAGTCTTCCATCGTACAGTGCTCTGTATATTGGACGGGCAGGTTGGACCGCTGGGGCTCATTTGAGTACTTTTGAGGTGAGTGCCTGATTGATGCAGAGAATATAATTCCTTTGTTTTATGGCTAGCTCCGTGACCGGGCAAGATGAACCGAATCCTGCGCTGTGATTGGCTACCCGAGCGGGCATGATGGCGCTATCTTGACCGATCGGGAGTGTCCCGTAAGAAAATGGGTTTTTTTTCCATATAATAAATCCTTTAATGGCCAAGCATGAGGTCAAGATGACTGGATATTGGCCAAGTTCTTCGTTTGCGTGTTTATTGACCTCGACTCCTCAGTCCATAAACACAAAAAAAGAGCTTGGCCTATATCCAGCCATCTTGACCCCACGCTTGGTCAATAACCCATATATATCGCGAACAGAAGGGACGCCCCCTGATCGCAAATATGTTGGAAGGTGAAAGTTGTGTTCACCATATCCGATATTCTGCATGTACTTGAGAACGTTTGTTCACCCTTTCGTTCCTAATGAAATGGTCTGCTATACTACCCTGATTCTCAGAACATCCGAGGTTGCAGGCTTTGACGCGGTGAGAGCGAGCAACGACGGACCGTCTAAGAATCAGGCTGTTGTTGTGCAAGATTGTTTTAATCTTTGCGAGGTACTATTTTTCATTTAATGCATCTCTTGGGTCACTCTGAGAGAGTGTAAACTACCTCACAATGACCAAAAAAAGTTGTCATGAAGAGCGTTGGCTCGTTTCTGCGGTTTCGTTTAATTTGTAAGTTGTTGTCCAGAGAAAACTTTCTCTTGATAACGACATGGAAACGTTTATGTTGTCTTCGGAGAAAAATGTAATTTTACCCTCTCCCCTCTCCGTCCGTCCAAGACTGTTTTACTGAGCTGAATTGAGCTCCACTCCCCGGGGTCTTGGTGTTGCGTTTTTGGCAGGGTACTACTAACGTAGGTGGTCTCTTCAATCAGGAACATTAATGGGTGCCAGTAAATTGTTAGGGTAACCTGGCAGAATGATGGACGAGCATCCCATTCAGGGAGTGTATGAATACTCCGACCTACAACCTTGGTCACAAGGGTTGAAAAACGTCATTCTATACGCATTTTGCCCTTCCCCATCCAACTGGCGCCCGTTTTATGAAGCTAGATTTGGCGTAGAAATTTTCGTAGAGCTCTACGACTCTACGCTATTCCTGTGCAATGTTAACATTACACTTCCATCTAACGCAAGATTGCATTTTACCATTTTCCAACATTGATAGGGAGAATGGGGTGCTGGCACTTATTCTGTAGGTATTACGGTTACGATTTCATGTTTTTGTACATTTTCCAACACAATTTGTCCATGGTTGTAGTCGCTACAAGAGCTTCTTCGTTCCTCCTGATCGTGATTTACTGGAATTGCACAGATGTTAACATAAACCCTCTGCATACGGAAGAAACAGACGTCAGGTTCTCTGTTTCCATTACAAATTGACTGGATTTCGTTTCGCTAATGGAGTTTAATTTCCATTATAGGGCGACATAGCAGAACTGGCCATGCACAGGGATCCCAGCAAGGCTCAACGTCAGGAGTGTAAGGCAGGTAACCTTCAGGTCCTATCAGTTGGGACCTGCGGTATAATCTCGACGCCTTTGAGTATAATTTACTTAATTACTGTGCGGAAATACTGCCATTTTTTTACACCATTTATCGGGCACTTTAATCTCTTGTACTAGTAATTTGTTCGCTTTTCCGCCTTGCTCTACACTTGCGTCCTACGTCTAAATTAAACAAGACAATTTTCCGAAAACTTCATTTCACAAAATGTTTCGTCAGTATTAACTGGCCCTGTGCGTCAAGGCAGAACGGTACGACCGTATTCTTCAGCTTGTAGAACAAGCAGCGCGAATTGCCAACTATTTTGTTTCAATTGTAAAATGAACTACGACAGTGAAGTGTCCTCTTTTCCTATTTGGACTTGACTTGACTGCTGGCGTTAGAAATGTAACACTGAGAGGCGAACTGTAACGGGATCATTTGCGAGCCTGTATAGAACTAGATGAATGTAGGTTTTTGACCAAAATAACAGTTCCGTCCAAAAAGTTGTAGCACTTGTTCGTGTAAAACACTCATTTTCATGGGCGATGGCGTCTCATCGCGAGAGGTAATTGCCGACCTAAATTCTACTCAGAGGGTACAGTTGACAGCCAGGCAATAAAAAGGCAATAAAACTAATATCGCTTCCGATATTCTCTTCTAGAAATTAATTCCAACAACAAGGCCTTCGCAGCATAAAGCGGCTCTGAGATCAAATACAAGCTATTTTTCACAATTCGAGTCTTCAGACAAGTTGAACAAAGATGCAGCTCTAACTACAACAAGCCACTCCATTTCAACCAAAGTGCAAGAACCCACCAAATTTTCTAGAGAAGCCGAGACCACGCTAAGCCGCAGTTCAGAGCCTCCCACTCAGGATACGTCCTCAACAAGTGAAGTAGTAACAGCAGAAACGTCTCAAAAGCCTGATACCACGCAAAACAGTAGTTCAGAGCCACCAACGAAGGACACGTCCACAGCAAGTGCAGCAATTACGACAGCAATCTTTGAAGAAGGTAATATCACAACAGGCAGTAGTACAGAGACTCCAACTGAAGTCACGCCAAGCAGCGATACAGCGCCACCAACTGAGGACACGTCCACAACAAGTGCAACAGTTACAACGGCAATCTCTGAAGCTGATACCACACTAAGCATCAGCAGCGAGCCTCCAACTGAGGGCACGTCCACGACAACTGGTATAGATACAACAGTAATCACCGAAGAAGCTGATACCACGCCAAGCACCAGTACAGAGCCTCCAACTGAGGTCACCTCCACAGCAAGTACAATAGTTACCACAGCAACCTCTGAAGAAGCTGATACCACGCCGAGCAGTAGTGCAGAACCTCCAACTGAGGACACGTTGACAGCAAGTTCAACAGAAACAACAGTAATCTCTGAAGAGGCTGATACCACGACAAGCATCAGCACCGAGCCTCCAACTAAGGACACGTACAGAACAACTGCCGTTGATACCACAGCAGTCCCTGAACAAGCTGACACTACGCTAAGCAGCACTACCGAGCCTCCAACGGAAGACACATCCACCGCAAGTGCAGTAGATACAACAGAAACTTCTGAAGAAGCTGATACCACGCCAAGCAGCAGTACCGAGCCTCCAACTGACGACACGTCCACTACAAGTGCAACATATACAACAGCAATCTCTGAAGAAGCTGATACCACGCCAACCAGCAGTACCGAGCCTCCAACTGAGGACACGTCCACAACAAGTGCAACAGATACAACAGCAATCTCTGAAGAAGCTGATACCACGCCAACCAGCAGTACAGAGCCTCCAACTGAGGACATGGCCACAAAAAGTGCAGTAGCTAAAACAGAAGCTGATACCGCGCCAAGCAGCAGTACAGAGCCTCCAACTGAGGACACGTCCACAACAAGTGCAGTAGCTACAACGGCAATCTCTGAAGAAGATGATACCACAGCAAGCAACAGTACAGAGCCTCCAACTGAGGACACGTCCACTGCAAGTGCAGTAGTTACACCAGCAATCTCTGAAGAAGCTGATACCACACCAAGCAGCAGCACAGAGCCTCCAACTGATGATACGGCCACAATAAGTGCAGTAGCTACAACAGAAGCTGATACCACGCCAAGCAGCAGTACAGAGCCTCCAACGGAGAACACGTCCACAACAAATGCAGCAGGTACAAGAGCAAGCTCTGAAGAAGCTGACACCGCGTCAAACAGCAATACTGAGCCTACAACTGAGGGCACATCTACAACAAGTACAGCAGTAACTGCAGAAACCTCTGAAGAAGCTGATACCACGCCAAGCAGCAGTACCGAGCCTCCAACTGAGGACACCTCCACAACAAGTGTAGGAGAGACAACAGCAATTTCTAAAGAAGCTGATACCACGCTAAGCAGCAGTACAGAGCCTCCAACTGAGGACACGTCCACAACAAGTGCAGCAGAGACAACAGCAATCTCTGAAGAAGCTGATACCATGCCAAGCAGCAGTACAGAGCCTCCAACTGAGGACACCTCCCCAACAAGTACAGGAGAGACAACAGCAAGCTCTGAAGACGCTGACACCACACCAAGCAGCAGTACCGAACCTCCAACTGAGGACACTTCTACAACGCATGTAGCAGTAACAACAGAAACATCTGAAGAAGCTGATACCACGCCAAGCAGCAGTACAGAGTTTTCAACGGAAGACACGTTCACAACAAGTGCTGCAGTTACAACATCAACCTCTGAGGAAGCTGATACCACAACAAGCCGCACTCCAGAGCCCATAACCGACGACACGTTTACAACAAGTGCTGCAGTTACAAAAGGAACCTCTGAAGAAGCTGATACCACGCCAAGCGGCAGTACAGAGTCTCCAACTGAGGACACCTCCACAACAGGTGCAGCAGTTACTACAGAAGCTGATACCACGCCAAGCAGCAGTACAAACCCTCCATCTGAGGACACGTCTACACCAAGAGCAACAGATACCGCATCAACCTCTGACCAAGCTGATACCATGCCGAGCAGTAGCACAGAGCCTCCAACTGGGGACACGTCCACAACAAGTGCAGCAGAGACAACAGCAATGTCTGAAGAAGTTGATACCACGTCAAGTGGCAGCACAGAGCCTCTAACTGAGGACGCGTCTGTAACAAGTGCAGAGGTTACAACATCAATCACAGAGGAAACCACCACCCTTAGCAGCGATGCAGAGCCTCCAACTGAGTTTACGGTCGCAACAAGTGCAGCATATACAACAGCAATAAATGAAGAAGCTGGTACCACGCTAAGCAGCAGCACCAAGCCTCCAACTGAGAACACGTCTACAACCAGTGTACCAGTCACAACAGCAGTCTCCGAAGAAACTGATACCACGCCAAGCAGCAATACAGAGCTTCCTACTGACGACACGTCCACAACCAGTGTAGGAGAGACCACAGCAACCTATGAAGAAGCTGATGCTACGACTAGCAGCAGTACACAGCCTCCAACTGGGGACACGTCCACAACAAGTGCAGCAGAGACAACAGTAATCTCTAAAGAAGCTGATACCACGCCAAGCAGCAGCACAGAGCCTGCAACTGAGGACACGTCCATAACAAGTGCAGCAGAGACAACAGTGATCTCTGAAGAAGCTGATACCACATCAAGCAGCAGTACAGAGCCTCCAACTGAAGACACCTCCACAACAAGTGCAGCTGAGACAACAGCAATCTCTGAAGAAGTCGATACCACGCCAAGCAGCAGTTCGGAGCCTCCAACTGTGGACACGTCCACAACAAGTGCAGCAGAGACAACAGCAATCTCTGAAGAAACTGATACCACGCCAAGCAGCAGCACAGAGCCTCCAACTGTGGACACCTTCACAACAAGTGCAGCAGAGACAACAACAATCTCTGCAGAAGCTGATACCACGCCAAGCAGCAGTACAGAGTTTTCAACTGAGGACACATCCAAAGCAAGTGCTCCAGTTACAACAGGAACCTCTGAAGAAGCTGATACCACTGCTAGCAGCAGTACAGAGTTTCCAACTGAGGACACATCCAAAGCAAGTGCTCCAGTTACAAAAGGAACCTCTGAAGAAGCTGATACCACTCCAAGCAGTACGAAGCCACCAACTGAGAACACATCCACAACAAGTATTATAGATACAACAGTAATCTCTCAAGAAGCAGATAGCACGCCAAGCAGCAGTACCGCGCCTCCAACTGAAGACACGTCCACAACAAGTGCAGTAGAGACAACAGCAATCTCTGAAGAAGCTGATGCCACGCCAACCAGCGGTACAGAGCCTCCAACTGAGGACACGTCTGTAACAAGTGCAGAGGTTACAACATCAATCACAGAGGAAACAACCACCCTTAGCAGCGATGCAGAGCCTCCAACTGAGCTTGCGTCCACAACAAGTGCAGTAGAGACAACAGCAATCTCTGAAGAAGCTGATACTACGACTAGCAGCAGTACAGGGACTCCAACTGAGGACACGTCCACAACAAGTGCAGCAGAGACAACAGTAATCTCTGAAGAAGCTGATACCACGCCAAGCAGCAGTACAGATCCTCCAACTGTAGACACGTCCACAACAAGTGCAGCAGAGACAACAGCAATCTTTGAAGAAGCTGATGCCACTACTAGCAGCAGTACAGAGCCTCCTACTGAGGACACGTCCACAACAAGTGCGCCAGTTACAACAGCAATCTCTGAAGAAGCTGATACCACGCCAAGCAGCAGTACAGTGCTTCCAACTGTGGACACGTCCACTACAAGTGCAGCAGAGACAACAGCAATCTCTGAAGAAGCTGATGCCACACCAAGCAGTAGTACAGAAACTCCAACTGAGGACACGTCCACAACAACTGCAGCAGTAACAACAGAAACTTCTGAAGAAGCTGATACCACGTCAACCAGCACACCAGAGCCTCCAACGGAGGACACGACTACAACAAGGGCAGCACTATCAACAGAAACCTCCGAAGAAGCTTCTACGCCAATGAGCTTTGTCCCAGATACAAGAAAACCAACCGGGGACTCCCCTACGACAAGCCCCTCGACTAGTGCAAGTGCATTTCCAAGCAGTATTCCTCCTACAACAGCTAAGGTTGTTATATCCTCCACTACGAAAAGCTTAAGCACAGCGGACGATGTCGACTTTACTACCAAACCAAAAACACTTGAAGGATCAACTACTGTAGTAAACACACCGACAGAAACGACTATTTCTACTAAATATTCTTCAGATACTAGCACTTCCGCTAAAGTGATTACTGAGGGTGTCACCGGAAGGCCTACTACAGGAAGTAAAGAAACGTCTCCCAAGCCAACTACGGATAGAGCAGGACTTTCAAAGACTGCCTCTGCGAGTACAATAACAAGTTCAGCTACTGTGGGTGGCCCGACTTCGCGTTCACCAACCAGCAAAAGCACATCTACTGCTGCCAAGACTACAACTGCATCTCCTGTTACAGTCGACGTATTGGACCCTACCGACGATACAGTCATTGCCCGGATAGAAGGGGAGTCACACAACTCCACAAAAGGTTCTCAGTCGTCATCCCAGGTGAGAACCAACGTACTGCTTACTATTACTTAGTGAGATACATACAGAAATATTGAAGGTATCAACGTATCATACAATTGCGGTCTTTGTGAAGTCGAACACCCTTCGGAGCAGAGTAATTCTTTCACTAGTTCGTTAGTCCGGCACAAATATCTTTTCATGTACATGGGTGGAATTCAGGTTGCTTTACCAAAATGGTCTTACCATGTGCTATTCTTTCCTAAAACACTTTTCATTTTATTTTTCTCCCAGGCGTTGTGTAAGGACGCGCCGGTTTCGAAATCAAACGGGACCTGCTTGCGAGGCCCTCGAGGGCCTCCGGGATTGCCCGGACCAAAAGGCGAGAAGGGTGACGCTGTTGTTGGGCCGCCAGGTGAGAAGGGAAGGCCCGGATTCTCAGGTCGTAATGGAGGTAAGCGCAAAACCAAACTGTTTTTTCTTTGCAATTTGTTTGATTAAAAAAAAAGGGCGTGTGAAAGATGTAAATTGTGCTTTTGGGCCAGTCCAGTTCTGGGCTTCTCCCTGTCACGCAACGCTACGCAACGTTTTGTGAAGAGAGAGAGGGGCAGAAATGGGTTGTTGTCACGCGCGTGCGACACCAACCAACGTCTGTGACAGGAGTCGCATTTATGAATTTCTGCACACTGGTTGGACGCTGTAACCACAGCTACGGACAGGCTCACGGTGAGCAAGGCCATTTACTAGGTGCATATGTGGCACGTGTCCGCATAGTGCTAGGATTAGCAGTGTCAGTCAAATGCGGAACCCGAATCAAGAGCTGACAGTAAGGGTAAACAGAATGAAAACTGGTATTACATTAGTAAAATTTGCTAGAAGGGATTGAACTTTGTTTACAACTGCTCCCCTGCGGCAAGCTTGAGGCGAGCTGAAATTTACAGTTTGTTCCAGGCTAGTCCTTAGGCGTCTAGGCTCAAGGGAGTCTGGGGTCTATCATGGACAGTGACGTTGCCGAGAAGTACTCTCTGGGAACTCTCGCACTTGCTTGATCCCTTCTAGATTTTGAGTGGACTGCGAAGTAAGAGAGGATGCGCGAGAGTCTGGAGTCTTTTGACGGAGGTGACGTCACCCTAGAGCACTGACAGAGAACTGTCGCACCTGTCCACTCTTTCCCAGGCTTCGTGTGGACAGCGAAGTAAGAGAGAACGCCTGGGGACTAAACTGATGTTATCCTTTGTTTCAACAGCTAAAGGAGAAAAAGGCACTGAGGGGTTGATGGGACCAAAAGGCCTCCGTGGACGACCGGGGCGGCCTGGACCTGCGATATTCTTTGATTCCGGTGAAGAGGTTATCACTATCAAAGGAGCTAAGGTATACTGAATGAATGAAGACTTTGTTTTTGGCAGAGACCCTAGCATTTTCGCTTGATTCCTTGGCTTTCGTAATAATACACTGAAATGGGCTAAGAACAGTGCAGTTCAAGTGTAAGACCAGTGCAAGAAGTGTAACAAAGGTGCAACGGGTGTAAAGGCGTGATACCAGTGCAAATAACAACGAAGACTATCTGAAGTTATTACAAAGACACTTCGAGTGCCGACGGCTATCCNTGGTGAGTTATGTATGACAACGGGTCCGATCAAATAGTGCAGTTATTTAGTGTATCTAATGCAGTGTGATTTTCCGCAATTGAGTTAATTGTATTAATTAAATATTAATTTTTTTTATATTCATACTTATATTTGTTGAAAAGTTACTCTGGGGTAGATAGGAAGGACTTTTTAATGGAACTAGTTGGTTCTTTTAGAAGAATTAAATATTAGTCCAGTGAAGATTGTATCTTGAAGTCTCGTACATGTCACTATTATTCCCTGTCATGTTCTTCTCAGTCTATGTGATGAATCCCTCATCTTCCGCCCCTTTCTATATTTTACTTATTTCCTCCTACTTGAAAACTTGAAAACCGTTTAGTTTCTGTTGATATGAAAATCTCGGACTATAAAGATATCAAGCCCAAAGACCAAACTCTTTCATGATGTTCCGTTTGCATTTTAGCCTGTCAAACTTCCAAAAGGAGACAAAGGCGAACGGGGATTAGATGGTGTGGAAGGACCGAAGGTATGCATCTAAATTCTCCTTACAAATATAAATATATTACCAAGCACACTGGTGATGAGAATAAAGATAATCATCAACTGGAGTAAATTGCCTTGAGGTAACACCAAATCCTTAGAACCAGGATGAAAAGAGACGGTTGATGGTTTGCTTCGCTTTTACGCACGCGTAATGTCAGACAGCGTCCACACTACGCCGGAGAAATTGGAAAACGCAACTTTATTTCTACGGTTAGGCCTACCGTCCACACTAATCCGTCACGAAAACGGGGCTTTTCGTAAACGTCCTTCAAACCGGAGAAATTTTAAGACGCCGGCTTTTCGTTTTCGTGTGGACGGAAAGCATTTTGAAAACGGAGTTTTTCGAAAACAATGGCGTCACGAGAATCACGTGATTTCCCTGCCAGCTTTTTTCTCAAACACAAATCCAAAATGACCGATGATTGTTACATTTTTAAATCCCTCCGGCGTAGTGTGAACGGAAAACATCTGGTGCGTTTTCAGAGTGAAACTTCCGTTTTCAAATTTCTCCGGCATGGTGCGGATCAGGCCTTAATCCTTGACCGGCAAAATTTTTGGTTTGTTATTTTTTGTTTACAATTGTGATTCTGTGGTTTAATTGTAGGGAGAACCTGGCGAGAAAGGTCAGCGAGGAATAACTGGCCTTTCTGGACGGAGGGTAAGTGATTTGTGAATATTATTACTTACTACGATAGCGATTTTAGAGACTTAAATTTTACTGCAATTATATTGTTTAACTCTGAAGATCTGCGATAAAATATTTGCTTAAAATGATTTTTAAAACTCTTTCAAAATGGTAAAAGTCAACGACGTTTACAATGTAAAAAGATTTTTATAATAATTAGAATTTTGAATGATTTTAGACAATATTTTATCGCAGTTATTTATAGCTTTTCCTTCCTATCTTTCTCCGTGGCTCAAATATATGATCTTTCATATATTCACTTGCACAAAGTATACTTGTTGACGATGTTTTAAGTTCAATTTGTCAGTTGCTGGGTTCTGACAAAACATTTCTCTGCTCCTTCGTGGTTTTTAACGGCTTTGAAAGTTGCCATCGACAGAAATTTTGAGTTGGCTTTAAACTTGTAAAGTTTCGACATTACTGTTGTTATATTTAGAGGTTGTTTTATTTTCAAGGGCGAAAGAGGATTGATCGGACTTCCTGGTAACCCTGGAAAAACTGGACCGCCAGGAATGGCGGGACTGCCAGGAGTGGTGAGTACTTTTGATAACGTTTTCTAGCTTGAGATTTTCTCTCGGAGCTTAAAGTGAGTGAGTAGCTAGAAAACGTTTCAGGTGTATGCAACTCTCTGTCTTTAAATACCGATTATTTAAAAATGGCTTTTCGGGCCCGAAAAGATTCCGGGGTTTTCGAGAAACGGGCCCCAGGATAGAGCACCCGCATGAAAACCAGCTAAGGGAGATGTGGCTTCCTCTCTTAATATTGTAATTTATTTATTTATCTTTCAATCTTGTGCGTGAACGGTTTAACTCGTTGTTATGTTACAGGGTATACCTGGACCGCGAGGATTACCTGGCGAAGATGGCGCTCCCGGAAGACCTGGAGAAAAGGTAGGACCGAACATTAACCGAAGGTTTACCGAATACTAACCGAAGGCTTACCGAAGGCTAACCGAAGGCTAACGAAAGTCTAACCGAATACTAACCGAAGGCTAAGCAAAAGCTAACCGAGGGCTAACCGAAGGCTAACCGAAGACTAATCTAACACTAACCGAAGGCTGACCGACAGCAAACTCAAAATCATATTATGATGTTACCGTTTGTTGTTGTTTTCGTTTGGAATCTCCCTACGCTAAGAGAACAATCTTACCTAACAATTTTCTGTTTAATATATTACCTCCAAACTTGTTAATTTGCGTTTTCTTTGAATTTCAGGGAAGAATGGGCGAACGTGGTATTCAAGGAATAAAGGGAATGGATGGAACGATGGTAAGTCATCATAAAACAAGGAATAACCACTTACAAAAGCTCTTACTGTGAGATAATATCAGTAACATCTGACGTGTTATTATTACCTTACAGGGAGATACGGGATCACGAGGACCGAGAGGGCCGAAGGTAAGCAGTTAAAATTATGTGCTTTGTCTTTAATCTGTTTTGGAATGACGCCCAGCACATCAATAAGTTGATTATTACACGAGAAACTTCCAGAAATGAAATCATCAAGCTATCGCTCCTGAAGTAAGATACAGGATTAGAATACAAAAACGCTCAGTAAAATTCATTAACTCGTTTACCAATATGGACTACTGAATTATAGGGAAAGCTCTTCCGTAGAAAATCCTCTCGCAGTTATAATCACTTCGTGTCAAACAGTCAATGAATTTCTAGCCGGTCATTTTCTTGTTGATTATTATTCACACTGTGCGACTTTAAATATCACTTCGAATTGGTCCATTAATTCTCAGGGCGAAAAAGGGAACAGCGTTATGGGACCTCCCGGCCCACCCGGCCCTCCAGGTACCAAGGGAGAAGCATCAATGATGGACGTAGTCTACAAACCCTTAAAAGGTGACCAGGGGGATCCGGGTCCTCCGGGGCCCCCAGGGAAGTCAGGCGGCGAAGTTGGTCCCAAGGGAGATCCTGGAAAACCCGGGAGACCGGGTGAAAAGGGCGCGAGAGGCGTCGATGGAGTAAATGGGACCAAAGGCGAAAAGGGTGATTCGGGAGGTGCTTCAGGAACGCCAGGTATGTAAGCCACAAGAGGGTCCTTTTCTGTAGTTATGTTTAAATTCGGAAAAAGCGAACTCTGCTTTAACTACTGCCCCAAAATAATAATATACCTACCAAAATGGCGACATCGTCTTCCAAGATAGTTGACTCTCTATTTTACCCTAACCCTAAACCCTAAACGTAACCCTAACCCTAAACCCTAACCCCGCTAAAACTAAGCATCAGCACTGAGTAATTAAATCTCCGGGCCATTAAAGGATGTCAGAAGCCAGCGAAATTGTTTTAAAGAGAAGGCTCCCTGAAAACAAATGCGTTTTCGTTGAAACGTATTTCTTGATGCGTTTTCGCAGATACGTTTCATTGATACATTCTCGTTGCATTTCGTTATATGCTTTTGTGCATACTGATACGATCAAAACTATTAATTCATCATTTTCATGGAAAACGCATACATTTGAGACCTCTGCCCACAATGGGGACATTTAAAATCGCAACCACTAAGCGAGGACGATAGATGAAAAAGCATCAACGAAAACGCACTTGTATAGACGGGGCCTCAAAATGTCAAAGTCTTCAACACCGACAGCGCAACATTAGAGAAAACAGTGACCAACCTCATCGTCAGTGAGAGCCCCATTGACGTGTATCAAAGACCACAGAAGTGGAAAAAAAGTCGTATGACATTTTCCTGTCCGCTTTCCGATTCTGTTCAGTTCCCACAATTGCGCTATTTTAAACAACAGGTCTTAGAGAACTTTTCGTACAATTCTGCAGACATTGCTAAACTAAGCAAAGTAAAGTCTTCCTTACTTTCTGATTTTAGGGGAGAAAGGTGAAAAAGGCGACAGTGGAAGTAGTTGTAATTGTAACGGAACAAAAGGAGACCCCGGCCCAATGGGCCCTGCAGGACCTGTTGGGCCCCCCGGCCCTCCTGGTTTCCTTGGCAACAATGAAACGAGCAGAGAGTCTGGAATGAAAGGCGAACAAGGAATAAAAGGAAAGCCTGGGGCTAAAGGAGAGAAGGTGCGGTCTTGTTTGTTAAGTTAAACATTACTCGGCTAGACTGCCGACTAGACTTTCCGAAGTTCAGACGAGTTTATCCGTCAACGTAAATTAAACGAAGTATTCAGGACCTCAACAAAACCGAGGGACAAACCTTGACTTGAAACAGAACCAGCACGTTTAACTAACAACAGATGATCAAAAGCGGTCAACAATTGACCAGCTGCTGTTGACGAACTTTGCGGAAAACCGACCGATTAACACAAATACTTCAACACCATCGGAAGGTAAACAGCATCTCATTCGACTCTTAAGATGACTTCTGCTCGGATTGTCGCGACGTCAGTCACCAGCAACAGTTCTTTTCAAGTCCACAATCATCCGAACATTCACACTGAACAAACTACTGTGGGCTCAGGCCATTTGCTATGCAACACATAAGTTTAAAGTGTTGAGTCTCGTTACGCCCAAGGTCGTGGACCAATGTTATTTTTGTCTTCTCTTGAATTGTGTGAACGCTTTGCCTAATGGTGTATGACTGAAACGTAAGATTCATGGGTCTAGAGTTCGTACCTCTGCATTTTAAAAGTGTTATTTCAATTAGAGTGTTCTATAATTCTGTTTTTCTACTCTCAGGGTAGCCCTGGGTCTGTAGGCTTTCCTGGGTTGAAAGGAAAACAAGGATTACAGGTCAGTAACATAACTTGAGACTTGAGTTGAAAGTCGTCCACTAGCAGACAGAAAAGCCGCCTTATATAGCATGATAAACAG